AAAAAAAAAAATGAATCCTAGATAGTTTTCCCTTTAAGTCAAGCGTCTTGTTGTTTAAATAAACTTCTTGTTTAAAATGAAAAAAAAAGAATGGAAGAAAAAGTTTCCAATGTACTCAACCCTATTATGAAACTAATTTATAGCTATCACAGGAAAACTATAACCCAATTTTAGCCCAAGAATATGGGGAAAGGGAGGGGAAGGGAGGGGAGAGGATAGTTGGAGGGAGGGTGATTGGTGGGATCACGCCTATGATTTATCCTATAAGGGTACATGTGAATCTTACTAAATGTAGACTATAAATGTCTTAACACAACAACTAAGAAAATGACATGAAGGCTATGTTAACTAGTTGGATGAAAGTATTCCAAATTGTATATAGAAACGACCCACTGTACCCCATGATAGTATTAATGTACACAGCTATGACTTAATAAAAAATAAAAAAAATTTAAAAAATCAAAAACAAAAACCATATGATTCTTTCAATTGATGCAGAAAAGGCTTTGATAATATCCAGCATCCTTTCATAATAAAAACACTCAAGAAAATAGGCTTAGATGGAACATTCCTTAAATTGATTAAGGCCCTCTACAGTAAACCCACAGCCAATATCATATTAAATAGAGTAAAACTGAAAGCATTTTCACTCAAATCTGGAACCAGCAAGACTGCCTACTATCTCCACTACTATTTAACATAGTATTGGAAGTCCTAGCCATCGCAATCAGGCAAGACAAAGAGATCAAAGGAATTCAAATGGGGACAGTGGAGATCAAACTCCCCCTTTTTGCAGATAACATAATCTTATACCTGGAAAACTCTAGCGACTCAACTACAAAACTCTTAGAAGTGATCAAGGAATATAGCAGCATCTCAGGGTACAAAATCAATACCCACAAATCAGTAGCCTTCGTATATACCAACAATTGTCAAGCAGAGAATAAAATCAAAGACTCCATTTATTAAATTGAATAAAGCAAACATACGTATGATCTGCTGTGTGTGTGTGTGTGTTTGCCATTTTTGGCCAGGGCTGGGTTTGAACCCACTACCTCCAGCATATGGGACTGATGCCCTACCCTTTTGAGCCACAGGTGCCACCCATGATCTGCTGTGTGTTAGGTGAAATGCTATGCATCACAAAGAATATATTATGGCTCCTGCCATGATGGAGTTACACCCTAGTAGAGGCCATGGAGAGTGAGGGAACTAATGTGAATTGTGCACTTTCTATGTAGCAGACATTCTCTCAGACTTTGCAAATATTTTATCATACTTAATCCTCAGAATAATCCTAAGAAGTATATAGATTATTCCTCCCTTCCTCCATTTATAATTTGGGCAGTGACAATACTAAGAATTTAAATGGTTTTAACCAAGATTGCACAGCAAGAAGCATAGTGAGCCAGGGTTTTTGAACTTTAATCTAAGACATATACAAATATCTATAGAAGACTGAGTGGCATGTATAAATATAGAGGCATAAAAATGGGCCATTGAGGTCTAAAGCCATCAAAGTCTCTTTATAGAGAATGTTTAAGGAAAGCTTTATGTTAGAGACAGCATTTGAATTGGGCTTTGAAAATTGTGGGTAGGATTTTAACAGGTGGATGTGGCAAGGAAGGCAAGTGAGCCCTGGAGGTAGAGAAGTACCTCTAGAGAAGTTGACCTGGAACTGAATCCAGCTGAAACCAAACCACATGTTCTTTCTGTTATACAAAACTAAAACAGTGAGAGCACATGCGGAAAGCCAACATGACTGAAAAGGGATGTTTCAACCTTGAGTTATGGGGGAAAGGGCTGGAAAAGAAGGTCAGGGTAAGAACATGAAGGACTTTCAGTGCAAATGCCACAGGTTCTAGGATAGAGAAGAAATCATTCCAAACACCATAATTACTGATGAAGATTACATTTTGTTTCTTTTCCTTATCAACTCGTATCTCAGGGTTAGTATTTCAGAGGGCCTAGTGGATTGAGTGGTAATGGAGCAACATGCAGGTAAAGCTGGATGTGGGGCTACATAGCATGAGAACCAGAAAATGCTTTTGATGAGAATCAATGTATTTTTGATGTATTTATTTTTAGCGCAGACCATTTTTCAATATGAAACGTCTATCTGAGGAGGATAAAAAAAGAGCAAGAAGTCAGTCAATTCCAAAACTAGCTGATTTATTGAAACTTGCAAAGAAGGAAAAAAAATTTGTGATATTTGATCTTAATGGCCCTCCACCAAAACATCCTTTCAGAAACTCATTTGTCCGCCAAGTGGTAAAGGTGATCCTTGCTTCTCAGATTGAACAACAACAGGTATGTCTAGTTCAATATTTATGGTAAGGGTCTGGAGGTGAGTATCATGTCGCAGAAATATAGTATTTGAACTTGAACTACTTTGTAGGTCTTCCCTAAGGCCCTTAAGTAATTTTGGTTCCTATGGAAATGGAGATTGTTGTTTACATGGCTATGTGTGGTAATTTAAGAATGATCCATTTAAATATACCTCAGTCGGGAAAATAATTGAGGCTTTTGGCTATTCTAAACCAAATGAAATGTTAGCACCTGGTCAAACAGGAACATGTATAATAACTATGGTGTAACCTGTACCATCGCCATCATAGATCTATTGGAAAGAGTTTGGGTAACATTAAAGCTTTGAGGAATTGGCTTTAACAAATGATACACAAAGGACAACTGGTTCTCATTTGAGCAGATATTTGCTCATTGTGTTTTTCAGAAGAAACTCTCTGCTTTTGAACAGTTATTTCAAATCCCTTAAATTCTCAGAATATGGGAGTGCTATGAAAAAAAAATCTTTTTACAAATGGAACCATTTTTACAGATAAGAGACAATAGGATCTCTGTTAACAGTAAATGACTCCTCTCAAAGATGATTTTTAGGATTGTCAACCAGAGATATTTTTGATTCCTACCATTCATCTCCATCTGCCAACTCCTCCTCTACTTTGCTGGTATGGGGCTTTCTGCACACAGTGGGTGCTTGATCCTTGATATTAACTTAGCTCCAGAACAGCCCTGCAAAGCCCCATTATGAGAGTTCATTAGACAACATGAGGCCAGGTTGATTTTTCACCAAGGGCTAGAATCTCTCTCTGCTCCCTGTAGACTATTACCAGTGCTGGGATGGAGCTCCCTCCATGCTCTGTGGGGCTGTTTGTGCCTAGACAACTGATTATCTACTGAAGGACTTCCTGTTTCTCCTTACAGATTTTTTGGCTACCAAGCCATGATATGGCATATGTCAAGTACATGGCTCCTGGTTTTCAGCATATAGGCCGTACACTCTCCATTGAAAACCTTACAAGAGAAAATGTTAGTAGAATAAATGTTGACTACAAGGACATATTATTCTCCCATAAGATAAGGTAAGTGTTTGATCACATCTCTCTGGGCAAATGTTGCTTTACAAAGTCTTCCTTGGATATAAACACTAGGCTTCATAAAAATTACCTTATATAGGGGTGTGGGGTCTTGGTGTGTGCCATGCCTTTTGGGGGCAAGACACAATTGTAAGAGGGACTTTACCTAACAAATGCAATCGGTGTAACCTGGTTTCTTGTACCCTTGATGAATCCCCAACAATTTAAAAAAAGAAGATATATATACCTTTCTGCATCCCAAGGCATGAACTTCTTTCTGTTCCTGCTTCTTAGGCCTTTCTAATCATGAGGTGGTTGAAAATATAACAATGTCTTTTTTCTTCTAGTATTGAAAGATTATATGTTTTACTTTCTATTTCCCATTCAGATGTCTTTTTATTCAACTACTTCTCTATCTTGAGCATATTTCTGTTTCCTTTTTCTTTTTTCCAAAATGATTTCCTCCTCTGCTAATCCTAACTTACATAGTTACAGTAGTTGAAAAGTAATTATAATGGCTTCCTTTTACTGTGCCTTTATTACGTGTCAAGTTTTGTGTTTGGTAGACTGTGGGCTCTGTTTCAAATCCTGGCCTATCCTTCAACTACTCATATGACTGAACACATTTCTAATTGTCAGTTTTCTCCTTTGTAATTTAGGATAACAGTGGTGCCTGTTGGAATGGTTAAAAGATTGAATGAAATCATTCATTTTGTACATATAGCAAAATCCTGCGCAAATGTAAGAAGACAGTAAATGTTAGTTGCTGCTTTTATTGTCACCATTTTTCCGTATTGTGGAGTGTAATTATCATTTCCAAATCACAGAGGTTAGGTGGTTCACACAGTCTGGTAGTGGTGGACTGAGATTTAAAGGTAGTTCTGAAAGACTACAGAGTTCAGAGTCTTTCACTGCTATGCCTTTAAAGTTATTCCTTGGTCCAGCTATATGGGCATAATTTTGGCTGGCATTTAGATTTAACAGGGATAATATCCTGAGTCCTATTATAAAATAAAGCAGTTCAGTTTAGCTCAGTAAATACTCACCAAGTAGTAATATGAACAGTGCACCATGATAGTATTATGTGAAAGATCAACATAAGTAAGATATCATCCTTCTCCTTTAGGAGGGCATATACTCCAAAAAGAAGAATAAAGCTTTTTTCCATATAGCTATGTCACTTCCATAAAGCTAATCATGATAAATTCATGAGTAGGATGTATTCCAAATCATTCCCCTTAAGGACCCCTACTTAATAAGAAAGTAAGCAGTTACACCTTAAATATTTGACTAATGGAGAGGGGGAGGCAAGATGGCCAACAGGAGCCAGCTTTCCACAGAGGCTTCCATCCAGAAGGAGAGTTAAAGGACAGAAGTTTAGCACATCAGCTGATGGTTTGGAGCTGAGCCAGGAGAGGTTGAAGAGTGCACATCACCCCTGCTGAGGCAAGCTGTGACCCCAAGGATGCAAGCAATAGGTACGAAATCTATCACCAAGTGGATGAGAGTCCCCTCCCCCATGAGAACAGCTTTCAGTATACTTTCTACAAACAAGCAAACAGAGTTCAGATCTCCTCTGTTTTGTCCCACAGGAGAGACCCTCTAAAAACCAGAACTCATTCCCCAGAGAGGACCCACTAGTGTGCCATGGCACTCTCCCTCAAAACTGAACTGAACTCCCAGAACTCCCCTCCACTCTTACCCTGAGGTCTGGAAGCTGGTCCCCCATGCAGTTCATGTTCTTGGGCATTTTCTCAAGAGGTGTGGACAGGGTTTGGGCTTTTGTGGGTCTGTGCTGACTCTGTGGCACGGTTGAGGAGCATGGACTATGGAGCCAAGGAGCCATAAGGGAGAGGGAAAAAGCAATGCCCTGCATCACAGTGCAGCAGTGGCAGTGATGGGACCAATAGGACTCAAACCCCTGGAGATATTTTGGAGAGACACTTACCACCTCTCTTAGCAACCAGAGTGAGCAGGGCCTCTACTTCAGTGGCAGGCACTAGCGGAACAGATCTGTCATGGAAACACCAGCCCTGTGAACAAAGGGTATGCCTGAGGCGGTACCTGCTTTGGTGGGGCATGGATGGAGACTAGAATATGCATGCAGAGATGGTATACTCCCAGGGCAGGGCTGAGTCAGAATTGCTGTTTTTGTGAGCCTAAGATGCACCTGGCCCCCAGGGGAGCATAGCTGGGACAAAAGCAGGTGTGGCAGCAGCACCAACCCAGGGAGGGGCAGGAACTGAGAACTGTTTGTGAGCTCTAACTGCACCTGCCCCAACACAGAGCACAGTGGAGACAGAGATGCCAGCTCCATGAGAATTGGCACAGCAGCAGTGGCACAGGGTTGGGCTGAGTCACAGTTTCTGGCCCACAGGGGAATATAGCTAGGATAGAAACACAAATTCTGCGAGAATATAAGTGGCAGCAACATCAGTTTGGGGTGGTGCTGGAACTAAGTGAAACTCCCCAGCTTCCATTAAGCACCCAGGTCATCAGCCTTCAGCTGCCCCTGCCAGCTGGTGTCAGAGTGAAGAGGCCTGGCCAAGGAAACAGAGCTCGCTGTGACTCAGGCAGGTGCAAACCCCTGGAGAATCTGCTCATTAGAAGGAACTGGGTCACAGCCCTGCAGGGTTACCAGTGACTGGGTGTGACAGAGGTGCAAAGTGGAGAAGGAGGCACCAACCTTCCAGGACTAATTCATTTGCTGGGGCACCAGAGTGAGTCATACTCAAGCTGCCAGCAGACCCCTGCTATCTAGTTCCTGGGGACCTTTTGAACTCTCCCACTTGAGACTGGGTGCTGACCAGAACAATTGATTTGGAACTCTTGACCTGGGTCAGTCACCTGAGGACCATCCAAGGTGGTACCCTGGTTGTGTTGTTGTGGGAAGGTTTGCTTTTCCTTTGCCAGTTGTTGCCCATGGGGGGCGGGGTGTCTTAGTTGCTGGTATTTCTCCACAGCTGAAACTTCAACCCAGAGTTACTGATTCACTAGGATTGGACAGAGACCAGCTGAAAACAAGACAGAGCCACTTAGCCCCACCACACCAACCAGGTCCCCAGTGTCTCAGGCCATAGTACTATCCGGGCCCTTTGCAAAGCTGTTAGGGAAAAGCTGCAGTCACCAGTCCCAGCTCTTGGGCAAAGGGCTGGTTAATCACTACTCCAGGAGCCCTCCAAGCCAATTTCACCTTATCTGCTCATCTAGCCAAATGGTGAAAAATAATCATGGGGTGGGATCAGTGGGAAAACTCCAGCAACGTGAATAAGCAGAGTAGATCAACTGCCCCAAGGAATGACAAGGTGGACACACCAGAAGATCCCATTCATAAATAAATGGCTGAGATGTCAGAAATTGAATTCAGAATTTAGATTGCAAATAAGATTAATAGAATGGAGGCAAAGTTGGAATTAGAAATTCAAGGAGCATTTCAAAAGTTGGCTCAAGAATTCAATGAATTCAAAGGCAAATCACCAAAGATTTTAACACATTGAGGCAAGAACTTGCAGCCCTCAAAGATCTGAGAAATAACAGTAGAATCTCTCAGTAACAGAATGGAGCAGGCAGAAGAAAGGATTTCTGACATTGAAGACAAAGATTTTGAACGCTCCCAAATGCTCAAAGAGGAAGAGAAGTGAAGAGCAAAAACGGATCATTCTCTCAAAGAGCTCTGGGATAATTTGAAGAAAACTAATATTTGTCTTATAGGAATTTCTGAAGGTGATGAGGTGGCTTCAAAAGGCCCGGATGCTCTACTCAAAGAAATAATGGAGAACTTCCCAAACATGGCAAGAGATTCTGAAATTCAGGTAGCAGACAGTTTCAGAACCCCAGCACAACTCAACCCAAATAAAGTATCTCCCAGACACATTATAATTAATTTTGCCAAAGTTAATATGAAGGAGAAAATTCTGCAAGCAGCCAGACATAAGAAAACCATAACCTACAAGGGGAAGAATATTAGAATGACTACAGATCTCTCTGCTGAAACCTTTAAAGCTAGAAAAGGGTGGTCATTGACATTTAACCTCCTAAAACAAAATAACTTTCAACCTAGAATCCTGTATCCAACTAAACTGAGTTTCATTTATGATGGAGAAATTAAATACTTTAATGACATTCACATGTTGAAGAAATTTACTATAACTAAACCAGCTCTCCAGGATATTCTCAAACCTATCCTCCTTAATGACCAGCGCAATCCTCCATCACAAAAGTAAACTCACTCAGAAAATTTTGATTAAATTTCAACTCCCTCAGTGGCAAAAGGATTAAAACATCCACTGGACTTTTGAAAAACTTGATAGCCAAAATACTACCAGGCTTATCAATCTTCTCAATTAATGTGAGTGGCTTAAATTGTTCTCTAAAGAGGCACAGGTTGGCTGACCAGATACAAAAACTCAGGCCAGATATCTGCTGCATACAAGAATATCATCTTACCTTAAAAGATAAATATAGACTCAGGGTGAAGGGATGGTCATCTATAATTCAGGCAAATGGATATCAGAAAAAAGCAAGTTTTGCAATTTTATCCACAGATACAATAGGCTTTAAACCAAGAAAAGTAAGGAAAGATAAGGATGATCATTTCATATTTGTTAAGGGTAATACTGAACATGATGAGATTTCAATTATTAACATTTATGCAGCCAACCAGAATGTGCTTCAATTTATAAGAGAGCCTCTAACAGACATGAGCAACTTGATTTCCTCCAGCACCATAATAGTCAGAGATTTTAATACCCCTTTGGCAGTGTTGGATAGATCCTCCAATAAGAAATTAAGCAAAGAAATTTTAGACTAAAATTTAACCTTCCAATAATTGGACTTAACAAAATCTACAGAACATTTCATCTTAACAAAATTGAATACACATTCTTCTCATCAGCCCATGGAACATCCTCCAAAATTGATCACATATTAGGTCACAAGTCTAACCTCAGCAAATTTAAAAGAATAGAAATTATTCTTTGCATCTTCTCAGACCATCATGGAATGGA